ACACGGGCGCGAGCTCACGAATTACTGGCAGTTTTCGAGGAAGCCGCTCCACGAGCGCCTGCTGTACCCCGTCGGGTATTGGTTCCCCGCGGCGCAGCAGCGGATGTACGGCGGCATGCTGACGAGCATGAGGGGCAGGCACGTGTACTGGTGCGTGTTCCAGCTGTCGGTGCTTTGTGTGGTGGGCCTGATTGCGGCTGTACACCCGCCCGTGGGAGTCTGCCACGTCCAGTACTTCTGCATGGCGGCTGTGCTGCTTGCGGGTGCGGGCGTGGTTGCCTTCACGAACATGATGCGCTCGGCCTTCCTGACGGTGATGCACGCGGCGGGCTTTGTGCTCCTTGCGGAGCTGTGCGTGGTCAGCGCGGCCAACCACCTTGCGCCGAGCGACGGCGGTGCGAGGGCGTACGCGGCGATCGTGCTGCTGCTGACCGCCGTGCCGCTCGCGGTCACTGTGTACAGCTTCGTTGTGTGGTACGTGGAGGACCGCCACTGGCAGGAGCTGCGCGAGCCGCAGCGTGGAGGGCTGGAGGCGCTGCTGCGCGATGACGAGGAGAGCGACGAGGAGACGCAGAAGCCCCACGACATGATGTCATCGTCGTACGCCTCAGGCACCACCGTTGCGTCGTCGTACCGACCACCCGCACCGCCGTTGCTGTCTGTGGCCTGTGACATTCGCTCAGACGCCCTGAGCCTGCTGGACCGTGCATCCAGTGCGAGCCGTATTGATTGATCACGCCGTTCTCTGAAGTGCGCTACTTGGAACTGGCAGGCGTGTGTTCCTGGTCGATGAGGGAAGGGTGCGACGCCATGGCTGCTGCGCAACACAACCACTCGTTGCCCTTGCACCGACCGTGTCGTTGTTCGTAGTTTCTATAGACTTTTTTCTACTTTTGAGCGAGTGCTCGTTCGACTCTTCCCGTTTCCCGACGACTGTGTGGGAGGGGATTTAGCTGTCGCCCTTGTTGCGCTCGATTTTCTGTTGTACCGTAACGTAGGACGTGATATTGTGTGCTGAAGCGTATGCTTTTTTTGTGTGTAGTGAAATATATAAACATAGCCGTAGAGCACGCACCCGCAGAAATTCATTTGTGGGGAGTCTTTAGGAATATTCTCTTTTGATGTTTTTTTGCTTATGTTTGGTTTGTTGGGTTTCTCACTGCTGGCTGTGCTTCTGTACCGCGCCCACTGCGTTTCTTGTGTCTGTGTGCCTGCATGTCTTCTATTTCCGTATTGTTTCTGCGGCTGCGTTAAGCAAGACACGTAGGCACGAATTTGCTACTGGGGAACTGCGGCGGCGTCCTTCTCCCCGGCGATGAAGTCGCGCCTTCACGCGGTGCCGGGGCGTTGCCTGAATACAAGAACATTGCAGCAGGGGGTTGTTGCGAGCGTGATGGAGACCACGACGACGTGATTGTTTGCCGACAGTCGCTGCATTTCCAAAACGATTTTGTCATGGTTTACTGTGTCAAAGGCATAGGCGTGGTCCACAAAGACAGCCAGCGTGCGGTGTTGTGGAGCGTTGCAGTGCATGGCAGCCCTGAGGTGCAGCAATTGGTCGAGGGAGGAATTGTTGGGCCGAAGGCCAGATGGCTGTGGAGACAACTGGGACTCGATGATGTCTCGGCTGCGTGCGGCACAAATACGTTACATGAGCGATCCGAGGCAACTGCTCAGCGCGACAGGTCGGTGTGAGTGGGTGTTTTGATGCCGTTCTCCCCAGAATGGAGGGAAGGGTGTCGTGACTCCACGTCGCCAATTCCGCCGGACGGCTTCTGTGCGTAGGCGTATATTGGACAACCGGGGACAGCACGCTTTGCTACACGGCGTAGATGGCGCAGCGACTCTCCATTCATTCTGTCGGGGACAGGCGCCGGTCCGAAGGGCAACAGTCGTAGGGTGCGGTTCAGCTCTGCCATGTTCATTGGGGTGAAATTTCTCGCATTCGTCAGGATCGGTGGCGGCGGGCAGGACTTTGGGTGCCGTGTTGCTTTTGCCGCCCACGGCTTTGTGTGGCCGACGTTCCGGTGTCTGCTGAGCATTGGGCCATCTGCTTTCATGGCTGGCATGCTCAGGGAGCGAGTGGCATACGCACGGCGTACTATCCGCCGGCTGTTACCGTCCGCGGACTCGAGTTTGGAGAGGAGCGTGCGCCAGCGGCTTTTGGGTACTTCGCGCAGCACATCTCTGTGACGGAGTTTGAGCCGCTGACTGCGTTCTGCGCGGGGTGCGGCGGCGTTGTCGCAGTCCGGCTCCGCCAGCCCTGGGGTCCAGAGTGGGGGACGACTGGCGGTTTCCTGTTTGGACAGTTGCCTTTGTGGATTTCTGTATTCCGGATGCAATGTGCTTCTCTGTGCCGTTCATTTTGTTTAATTCTTGCGGGATTCTGCCGAGTTGTTTGGTGTTCCCGCTTTGCTTATTCCAATCTGCCTTCTTCCATGTTAATTATTTCCGGTTAGGCCTCGGAACCACTGCGGGTGCGTCGTCTCCGATCAGAGCATCAAGGAGGGTCATGCAGGGATCACTGTCCGGTGAGGGCTGTGCTCCCCAGTGGGCGACGACACAGTCTTCAGGTAGGGCGATGTCGGATGTTAAACTGCCCTGTTGTTCGGTGTACCTCGTGCGCTCTCCGGCGTTGATGAACTGGGGTACATTCTCAATGCACCGCTGCGCAACGATATCGCCACGGGAGCCTGATGGGATGCTGCGTTCCCAAGCCTCGCTGTGTGCGTTGGTGTCTTTGCCCTGTTAGTTGTGGCCCGTCCTCGAAGAGCTGCCCATCCGACTCCTCCACCTTTATACTCTTGGCAGAGGAGGGAAGGAGATACGCCGACGACACCGTCAGTTTTATTCCTGTCTCTGGGTGGCTGGTCGCTTGCGCAAGCCCGATGTCGGCGACAAGGGCCGGTCCTGCTCCCGCCTGCAGCCCCTCACGGACGAGAATGGACACGCCGCCGCCTGGACAGATGCAAGCAGTTCCATGGTGCTGGAACCCTGGCGGGCTGGAACCAGTGGCTTCAGGGTGGGGACATCTTCTTCACACCCAACGCACGAACAACACGTTCTTGTCATACAACATCACGCTCAGCGCCAAGCGCTTTGCCAGAGTGAGACCCGCAGCGCTTCACCGTAACTCCTGCAGAAGGGGACGGGGATTCTCTTCCACATCTCCTTTTAGCACTGACACAGTACGGATGGCAGTGCTGACGGCACGCCAACGCGTGCCTCCAGACCTCGTGATGTTGTAATGTGCCCGGCAATACGCGGCTGGCCCGTGCGCTGGTTGCTGCCATCAGCCCTGCGCGAACAAAAACAACAACCCCGTGAGGGAAACATAGCTGGCTCCTGGCTTCCCTCGACAATACGGGGTAATTGACCCAGGCACTACGCCGGGGTGGCTGGTATTGCCAGTGAACATGATGGGAAGGATTGGAGGACAAAACTGTTGGCTTCCATAGCCGGATTTATTCTAGTTTCTCGTACCCTGAGCCCTACTGCGATTGCTCCATTGCAATCAGGTAGTTTTTTTGTGGGAGGCCACGGCAATAAGTACGCCTGGTATGAGCAGTCGAACGGAGGAGGTGCCGCGAACCACTGCTGGTTGTTGGTGAATTTCACGGAGACAAGCAGGGAAATAAAGGAATTAAGAAAACCAACTTGCGAAGACAACCGTCCTTGGAGCTTTGCGCTAAGAACAGTTTATAAAAAATTTCCGACACAAATTATTGACGGCGTAGCCGCTGCTGTTGATGACGCTGAAGGAGGATTGGTGTTCCCTGTAAAAACTGTGAGTGTTGGGGAAATCCCGCCCCACCGATCGCGTGCTCGGCAAAGCTTGGGAAATAAACGCTGTCGAGGGCGATATCTGCTGAGGGGTGAAGTGATCTCTTTGTCGTGGTGTGGGAAGGTGGAGATCTTTGCATGATCACTGCATCCGATGGCGGCCAACGGAGGGTGGACGCGTCCAGTGAAAATGGGGAGGCGTGGGTGGAGCCCCTGGGGACACTCAATTGCCCGCCTGTGGGCCAACTGGCATGATGGACAGGGGAAAGGCGTCCTGAGCGGCTTCATCACTGCGGCGATTGGAGAAGGGAATGTTCTGCGCGTTACCCTACCGGTGTGTTATAAAGCGAGCGAAAAGGAAAAGGGTCGGCCTTCTCTCTGGCTGGCAGACAATGTTCACATTGTGGGTATTTGGCTGGCATCCCGTAATGTGCATGCTGCTGCCGCCAGCTCCCTTTTTTACGAAGGTGGTGAAGGCGAGGATGATGGGGAGGAGTTGATTTTACTGTGCGGGAAGAAGGACGATGGGGAATGGGCGCGCAGCCATTTGTCTGTGTGCCTGACTGCGAAGCTGAAACGGGCGAAGAATTTGGTGAGGACTTTGAAGGAGCTGTACATTTTTGTCTTCCAGTTCTGCCCTTACTCAAATGTCAAGAAAAATCTTCTGTCCGTCGAGGGCTGCGACACTTTCATGCCTCCAGCCGGGCTGGTTGGATGTTTGTCCGGCAATTATCCGAGAGTACATGGAGGGAAGAGGGGACTGGGGGCTGAACGCTACGG